TGTGGAGGCCCTTTGGCCTGGATACGAATTTTGAAGTCTGGATCTGGACTGCCCCCATGACTCAGACCAAAAACTGGGACATAACTGTTGACTTCCTTTTGAACAGTCACATCTAGACGAACAGACACACTTACTGTCCGAACAGACATCAGCATTGCATATACAGACACAACTTCTCTTCTTTACACGAACAGGCACAATGGCTGCTCGTACAGACACACCTTATTCATGACCTACACAACTGYTGGCGAACAGGTAAGTCTTTTGACAATGCCCTTTGCTTCAGGATGTGCCCGTTGGTAGAGAACTTGGACTCTTGACCTGCTTTTCACGWTTCTGAGCCCTGGCGAGATACCTTTTCAGGCTGCTTTACTTTTACATGGCCCACATTGCTTAGTTACAAGGCCTGAGGCCTACATTGGGTGAAAAAGGCCCTTTCAACTTGGAATTTGATCCAGTAGAGTGGGCTTGGACACCAGACTGAAGCAGAAGCCTCAAAACTAATGTCTACATTCAGGAATACACAGTCAAGCTGGGTTACAACTTACTCCTCAAAACAAAGGATCCAGAACCAACGATCAAAAACAGATGGCAGAAGCTACTAGGTCAAGACGCTAGTCAGATCTCACAAATACCATGGAAAAAATTCAAGTCAATTAATCCGGTCAAAATCAGAAGGCTACAATGGATCATCTCATACGTAGCTCTACCGGTCAACCAGTGGTTGAATATCAGAAGAAGCAAGAATGACCCTAACAGTTCAGATTTATGTGCGGTATGTTCAGAAAATGAACCAGAAGATATGCTACATTGCCTGATATGCTGTAGAGAGGCGACCGAATACTGGGCGAGGGCCTCGGATCTCTGGGATTCCCTCTTCTCATCTCCCCTCCCTGAACATCCCATCCAACTCCTTCTATGGACTAACATCCCAGCTCAATTCCACAAGACAGAAAACGTGGTTTGGAATGATCAGAAAGGTAACTCTGTGGTCCATCTGGAAGGAAAGGTGCTGTAGAACCATTGAGGGACTCTCAACTCCAAGGGAGAAGGTATGGGCGGAGACAAAGACTTTGATTCAGGCGGAGATCCTTTGTAAGTGGCACAAGACGAAACAGTCCATGCCAGATGACGAAGAGCAACAGAGAAGAATATAGGCAAAATTCTCTAAGGTGTGGCTTGCAAGGGACAAAGTGGCAGAGATAAATGACTTCCACATACGATGGAAAGACTGGCACAACTCAGAAGCAGGGTGGAGAAGGCAGAGATCCCAGCCAGCAGAAGGACAACATCCATCACAGGTCACATAATATTGGAGGGCGAGTCCCAAGACTGCAACTTCCGTAGCTTCTCTTACATTTCTTGCTCTTCAGTATTTATCTGGCAGGCTCATGTAGTGGACCTAAGAGGAAAGGTGTAAGTAAGGCAAGCTGACAGTCAATCCTCCACGATGCGGGAGAAATCAATGCTGGTCAGGGTTCCTTCGGCCGGACGGAAGGAAGCGTGAGTGTGTGTCATGATGTAATATTTCTTTCTGACTTGCCGGTGGAATAGGAACCGGACTGATGCTCCCCAGAATGGAAATGGACCCAGGGCCGTAAGGACCTGTTTATGTAAGAACAGATCTGAGATCTGGCCAGGACCAGATCTAAGACGGGATCTCAGATGTGACCAAATCATGTCTCTCTCTCTCTCTCTCTCTCTCTCTCTCTCTCTCTCTCTCTCTCTCTCTCTCTCTCTCTCTCTCTCTCT